AACACTTATACTATTACTCTCACTCACGCTCACTCATATAGTCTCTCACTCAAACACCCATGTGAACACGCACACACACACACACACACACACACACATATATGCTCTCTCTCACACACACACACACACACACACACACATACACACACACACACACCATCACACACCCTCATACTTACACACTCATATTCTCTCCCCCTACCCCGGGCAAAAAAACTTAAAATAAACTGGACTGGTTTTTCCCTGCAGCTATCACCAAAATTTTGACCTAGAGGGTGAGTCTGGGATCATCGTGCGAGCGATCGGCACGGCCGTGGCTCTGTCCAAGTCACAGATAGGTCAGATGTCGCCTGCTGTCATGCCTGTCTCCTCTGTGTCTCCACAACGAGAGTAAGTGGTCACAAGTTTGTTTTTTGGGGGAGGGGGATTTACTCCACCCATTCATTATCTTTTTTTTATCAACTCCCATTCTGTGTATCTCGCACCCACCTCTCTTTTTTCTCCACAAAAGTATTTTTCTCTATCTGTCTCTCTCTCTCTGTCGCTCTGTCTCTCTGTCGCTCTGTCTCTCTGTCGCTCTGTCTCTCTCTTTCGTCCAGGAGGATAGCAAAGACCAGGCAGTGTGTTCCAGAAGTAGTTTGCTTATAGATCATCACATTTCATTCAGGGCTGAAGCAGGATCTAGACATATAGGCGCATATAACTGGTGACTTTTTGAATAACTTTAAATAAAGAATATTTGGTGTGGGGTTGGGGGGGGGGGATCATTGGATCTGTTTCGAGGGCAACAGATCTCCTCGTATGTTTTGACTCAGATAGGAAGCCACAATGTATAGTGTGGCTCTTTTCCTCTATGCAGACGGTCAATTTAGCTTAAGATGGTTTCAAGGTTGCCTTCATGCAGCTTCTTTCATGGCTAAGTCTTCCTATGTTTGAAGCGCAGATTCTGTCGCAGTGCTTGCATGTCAGTGATAGATCGAAGCTCTGTATTTCCGCTGTTTTCCTTTCGTCGTTGGCGCTTCTCCGCCTGGTTGTTTCTAAGGCTGCTCTCTAGCATTATAGTTCTTTCCTTTATCATTTTCCTCCATGTTTTCCTGTCCTCGGCTATTTCTTCCCAGATGCTAACATCTACTCCAAGCTTAGATAAGCTGTTTTTGCAGGTGTCTTTGTACCTCAGTTTTGGTCTTCCTCTTGGTCTCTTTCCCTGGGCAAGTTCTCCATAGAGAAGTTGCTTCGGAATCAGGTTGTCATTGATTCTCTTGACATGGCCCAGCCATCTCAATCTTTTTAAACACAAAATAGTTGTCATGCTCTGGAGGTTTGCCCGTGCCAGCACTTCTACATTTGTTACCTTGTCCTGCCACGAAATGCCTAAGATCTTGCGGCAGCATCTGAGATGGAAAATGTCGAGGCGCTTTTCTTGTCCGCTGTACTAGGTCCATGTTTCAGATCCATAAAGGAGTGCTGAGGACATATGCTTCGTAAATCTTGATCTTTGTTTTGATGGTTAAGCCACGATGGAGTGTGTATAAATACCAAGTGTTTTCAGCAGCTGAGAAGTTTTTAAACTTGAAACGGGCTCAACCTACCTTCTCGCTGACTTGTGTACAAATGACTTAGACAAGAGAGCACACAGGAGGTAACAGCTAGGTTAACACCACTGTTTTTTATTCTTCGCGGAGGATGAATCTAGGTTACTGTTACATAGAATAATTCAGAAGCGGCGGCAGTGTTGTGTAAAGTGCAATAGTGTACAAATACAGTAGTCAGTTTTTCCAACACATGTACCAGCTTCAGTAGTTTAATGTTCACCATGCACTCAAAAGACGTGAGTTGGATTCCCCTGCTGGGAAGAGATTATATTTGAGCATCTTTGTCTTAGTACTTAGATGCCCTGTCCCGCTCAGCCCAAACAAATGACAGAACAGGACTAGAGAACGGGAAAAGGGATGAAAGAGGAACATTTTAGGGAAGAGAATTTTTTCCTTTGATTTCAAGTTTTGATCCCGGGACCTTTTGAGTGAGATGCAAAGACTGTGCCTGTAGACCTTGAAAGCCCCATGATTTTGCGATGTGACCCTACAAAGAGAGGTTCTTGTTGGCTCTGATGTGAGGTGCTTGCCTCTCAAGTACATTGGTGGATAACTTAAGGGCTTTTTCACACCTCTGATACAACAGTATGTGGGATGGAGTGCCATTCGTCTCACTCAAGAAAAATAGTATCTGGGGGTGAATTATGATGCATTTTGCATTGGTCAGAGATATCTCTGCAGTTGAAAGTCAAAGGAAAGGAGTGCTGCTCAGGCTGACTGTCGAAGCAAAATTCAAACCAGTCAAAAAAAGGAAGAAAGTCTCGTTGGCGTAAAGGATTAGGAGCGCTTTTGAAAATGCCATATATTTCATTTAAAAAAAGGGGAAAGGCTGTACATTCTCGAAACAAGTGAGTAGCGATACGTTAAAATGAATTTGTCAATGGAATGGATTGAAGAGTAGTCTTTTCTTGGAATGTTGTGGAAGAGCATAAAAAGTGAATTGCAGTTAACATCTCTTTGCCAATGCCTGTTCACTTATGTCCTTGAAGGAAGGGTAAGATGACCTTAGCCTCTCATAGGACCATGCCCCTTTGCATATAGTGTCTCCTGTCGCTTATATGTTTTTCTTTTTTCTTGGTTATCTTTTTATCTTTATTTCAACAGAAAAGAATTTATTTAAAACTCTTCTCGTCTCCCTGTAGTATCTATATTTTCAACGAGGTTTTTTCTCATGTTCTCCTTGTATTGTATGTTTGTGTCCAAGACATTCACAAATTGTACAGTGATAATATTCTTGCTGGGAAATTTGTGTGCTTCTGAGTAAATTTTTTTTCTTTTTCTTTTGAAATGGGGTTGATTTTTTTGTAGATTTATGTCAATATGTAGATACAAATAAAATTAACTTGTGATTTTCAAAAGGAAAAAAATTTGAGACACGTTCATCATAGAGGATGTTGCGTATTTGTCTTACAATTTTATTTTTTAGTTTCCCATCTTTTTGCTCAACGTTTATAATTATATGATCATCATTATATCAATTTAAAAGTTTATTATTACATATATTATGTCTGTCTGTCTGTCTGTCTGTCTGTCTGTCTGTCTGTCTGTCTGTCTGTCTGTCTGTCTGTCTGTCTGTCTGTCTGTCTGTCTGTCTGTCTGTCTGTCTGTCTGTCTCTTTATCTCTCTTTTTTTCTTACACATATGCGTGTATATGAGTGTATATATTTATATATTTAATTATAATATATTGTTGTTGTTGCAATAAAAATGGTAAATTTTGTTTGACCCAGTTTTCCAGGTTGAATGAAAGAATTCTGATTTACTTGTTTTTCTTGCAACAGTTGCAATGAATTATAGAAACGCCTGTTGGCGTCTTTCTACCCTTCTTTTACCTCTATGGGAGGTTGGCAGGTTGTTTAACGAGGCTCCTGTGCCTCAGCTCCTATTTTCTTATTTGTGAGTGGTTGGCGGCTGCTCTGGTGTTGCGGTCTTCTCCTTCTCCTTCTCCTTCTTTTCATTGTTTCAGTTGTAATTCCTTAATGAGCTCTCAAGCGGCATAGAAGGTGTCAGTATTTCTTAAATGTTTTTCAAGTTATTTTTAGTCACGCTTTTCTCCCAGGCTTACCGTCACTCTATTAGTTTAAGCCCCTTTTGGATATATTTTATATATTTTAAACTAATAGTAACACTCTCCCAGTTTCTACTAATATAGATAGTGAGTAAGTAAGTTTATTCAGTGTTTAAGGCCATTGGCCCACATCACATCGTATAAAAAACTCGTTTGTTAAAGTACAGGTTGTGCACACATCTCTTATCATAGCTCAAACATTGCATATTTCTGTAACTGAGCTGAGTCAGGCTGGGGGAATTAACAATTTCCTTTGATGGACAAAGTATGGACGAAAGAAAATAAAGGGAAATTCATCTTCACTTTCACGAGAGTTACACCTCTCACATAAGGGTGAATTAATTAGTTTCCACCGATTGAGATTGCTATTTAATGGATGGCTATGCGCTTTTAACAAGGCTATTATTACTCTTCTGTTCCAATACCACTAATATTGGCAGATTGGAAGAAAAGATTAGAAATACTGATCTATACTCTAGGGAAATATTTCTGTCAGCCACTGACAGTGGCACGTAAAAACGAGTGGGCTTACTATAAAAATAATACATTTTTAAAACGGATACATTAGTAAAGATAATGTCTCTTTCCTTCTCCCTTTCTACCTCTGAAGCACCAAATGTGACGAAAAATAAGAATGCAGGCAAAACGACCTCTGACATTGAGAAGAAGGCTACCAACTTTTTTTCTGGTCAGGAGTAAAAGGAGTGTGTGTATGTCCCTTATGGCATACTTTTCATTCTTCTTACATTGCAATTCCTTGTGCAAGTTAGTTCTTTATGTAAACTTAATAATGTGAGGAGATTTCCAAACTGTCATTGACGGATAAATATCCATGAGATGAGGGTGGTATCCGATATAGATGATGCTTGTTGAAGCATCCTCTACACAGCAAGGTAAACACAGCACATTGCACTCACTATGTACCATGCATGTTTGTTGTGTTGCTGTTATTGCAATAGAAAGTGTTCTTTCTGTTGCAAGTCTTCAAGTCGTCTTATTGGCTCTGGCGATGGTCTATCATAGGACATAAAATGAGAGCTCATCTTATTCGCTGACTGTTGTAGTTTCAGGCGTTACGCATTAAGTTTTGGCATAGTCAAATGGAGAATAGTTGCTGTTGCCATACCTTTTTTCACAGAATAATAGCGGAATAATTTTACAATAGTCTTCATAGCTCTGATGTTGTGAAAAATAATTATTTTTGTAGTTTGTAGCAATGGTACTGACATTGGCTAAATTATGTGACAGTGACTCACACCTGTCCCCTTCTAAAAAAATCCTCACACCCATCCCCCTTCTCTAAAAATCCCTCAAAAGTTACAGGAACATAAGATAGTTTCGCTCCCACGGGTCTATGTGTAATTCAACTTTTTAAGTGTTCTTTTAGCTTTAAGCTTTCTTTTGTTCACTTTTTCCTCAGTGTTGTCAATTACATATTTTGACTTATATATCTGTTGTACACATATTATGATCTGTGAGAGTCTGCACATTGTATTCAATACTCGTGATCAACCTTTTACTCTTTGAGTTATTAATTTAGCCCATTTCATTAGAATTAAACTCTTCTTTGGTCATGGTCATTTATTCTCAGTTTTAACCTAAGGTATCAATTAGTTTTAGTCTCATTCTGCTTGTTCATTATATTCAAGCATATTATGAATATATTTCAGGAAAGTGAGAGTGAAAAACAACCCAGTGTACTGTCTCCTAAAATTTTTAATGTAGGCAAGGGAAGAGGGGTTTATTATTTTTTCGTGAGCAGGGTATTGTTTAGTCAAGTAAAAATAAATGAGTTTGGAAGTATCTGCACAGCGATATGCAGATACAGATTTTTGGGGGTAAACACTCTTCTTCCCTAAGTATGCACTGGAGGACTGCAGTTATGAAAATGCCAAAAAGTTGGCACCCATAAAGGTTCCATGAAGGCATACATCATTTTAATTTATGTGTCAAACTACTCTTGTTGTTTTCAATGTACAAGGTGAACTTTTGCAGAACTCTTTTTCCGTTTGATATGTGAGTTCAAGTTGATGGATTATATTGAGCAACAGAATAGCAAAGAGAATATTGAATGAACTCCCCAATTTTTTTTTTTGAAATGAGAAAAGTTTTGGAAATGAATCGCTGAACAATCTCAGCAAAATTACAAGAAGTGCGAATGAGAACACAGCTACATTTTGTTGTATTTCAAACACATTTGATGCACACTGATCCTTTCCATTTCTGTGGCCTGTCACGTCTAATCTCCAGATGTATACTGAAAAAAAAAAGAAGAAACGCATGTCTGTTACAAACAACATTTGCATATTTCCCAGCCTTAAAGCCATAAACTCTTCAAAGAATTAACATAATATGAACACAAAAGGTTTGGGAAAAGCAAATAGCTTTTACTAAAAATGTTCAAGAGTATTAATTTGCAAAAATAAAGGTTTAAGTTATGAGATGAAAATGAATTATGGCATAAAGCATGCGTTTCTTTTTTTTATGAATGGTATACATGTATGTTGCAAACCAAAAACATTTCCGTGACATGTGAGTTCTCTTGAGCTTTTGCACCACTAAGTTGTGTTGACCTCAAATGTTTTAGCACCTGCCAATCTCAGGTTTTGAAATTAAGTTATATTTGCTTCCCTTTTGCAAGCCGGTCACAATGTGGAAAGGATCTTTTGGAAGGAAATGATTGCTAATATTTTTTGTATTTTACCCTCCAAGTCTTTTTCAATTTTTGTTTGATTATTTTTGCATGCTGTGTTAGTTAGACTGAAAGCATATCCTTGAGGTTATGAGCTGATTATGTTTTAGCTAATAGGGAAAAAAGCATATCTGGATTTAATGGTTAGGGTCTTCATGTTGCATGTGGAAGGCGAGAATTCAATATCCTCAGGAGTAAAATATTTTCCTGACTCCTGTCCAAATTGTCCAAGACAGCTATCGATTGTGGAGGAGAAAAGTGGTTGTCTTAGACAGGTGGACATCTTGGACAGTGTCAGTATAATACAGAAACAAACCAGGGGGGGAGTGGGAAATGGTCCTATTTACTGGTGATGTTTCAGACAGGTGGCTATTACAGCAGGTTCGGCTGTGTCTTTGTCTGTCTGCTGTGCTTCTTTATGTCACTTAACCTGATTTTGATTCTGTTGAAGAGGGATATATTATAAAGTTCGGGCTATTAAGAGCACCTGCATATATGCCGCACCCATTAAAAAAAAAAATCTGAACTTTTTTTTTCTCAAATAAATTGCACTTGTTTTTAAGCGGCAGCAGATTATACAACACAGATTTATCTCGAAAAGTGCTCACCCATCTGTTGGACCATGTTTCTTAGGCGTATGCTAAAGTGTGGTGTTGAGAAATATATGTCAACTTTTAAAGATTTTAAGTGTAGCTGAGAATAGAGGAGGGACTGATCTTCCTGCAATCGGGAAAATCTGCCGGTAAGCCCTATTGTTGTTTAAGTCCCGGAGCCGAAGAAAAAGTCGCAGCTTATAGCTCGAACTTTACGGTACATCATTTCATTGTTTACAATCTTTTCACTAATGGCTATCATAGTGAGCTTTTACCTCAAGGATATGCATTGTATATTGTCAGTATCATTCCACACTGGTCCAAATCAATTTCTACTACTTTCTATATACAGTTGTTATTTCTTGTCCAGTTTTTAATTGAAAAATAATGAATGCCTAGGTCATAGTTCTGATATGGGCACTCCTCTTTTTCTTTAATTGTTTCAAAGCTTCAAAAAATGACTTGTGCATTTGTGGAATGTTGCTGACGAAATGTAGGTATAGCTCTTTTATTGGGTTTTTTTTTCTTGCATTTGTGCATTGTAGCACTAGCAGTATTCATTATCACGTTTATCTTCTCTCTCTCTCTCCCCCCATCCTCCTGCCTGGCGTGCCCTCCTTCTTCTTTTTCCCACCTGAACCTTGGTGTGTGTGTTTGTGTGTGTGTGTGTGTGTGTGTATTTGTGATTGTGTGTTTGTGCATATGTGTATGTGTGTGTGTGTTTGTGTTGTATGTTTATTTGTGTGCATTCAAATTTGTTATGTGTATGTTGGATAAATGGGTAAATATCTATTATTTTTTATGTGTGTTTGTGAACATGTTTCGTGTATTTACTTGTAATGCGTCTTTTGTCTTTGTTTGTGTATGTGTGTTTGTATGTTTACATGTTTGTGTGGGTATTTTTTTGTTTTCCTTTATATTATGTGTTTGTTTGTTTATTACCTTTGTGTGTGTGCATGTTTGTGTTTGTTTGTTTGTGTGTGTGTGTGTGTGTGTGTCTGTGTGTGTGTGTGTGTGTGTGTGTGTGCAGCATGCGCAGGCACACAGTGAGTCTTCACCACCGCCCCGCCTTCCAAACCTCACACCCTCACCAGCAGCAGTCGCACCACAACTACCCCCGGCCGCCCCAGCGCCGCCGCCGTCACGACTCCCACCCAAGCCGCTACAGTCTCTCCCAGTCTCCCTCCGGCCTGGCCGGGGATTCGAGCCCTTCCCTCTCAGGGACCCCTTCCTCCCCCTTGCCAACCTCACCCAAATCTCTTGTAGGGCTTTACTACCCCACGTGCTCCCCCTCTTCCTCTTCCTCCCACTCCCGATTGTCGTACTCCCCACCCCCGTCGGCTCCACCCGTCTTCCAGCGGGGCTCCACAGAGGGTTCAAACCTCTCCGTGTTCACTTTCCCTTGCAGCACTTCCTTCCCCGAAGATCCCTCCTCCTCCTCCGTTCCCCCTCCCCCCTCCTCCTCCTCCACTACCATCATCCCCACCACCACGGCCATACCTGCAGCCACAGTCATCACCACAGCTGCCACTACCACAACCACATCCCCATTTCCCAACTCTTCACCTACCCAACCACCCCCTGCTTCATCGGACGCCGCTCCTCCTGCAATCGCACCTCCGGCAGGAGGGACAACTCTAAAAGCAGCAGCACCGGCAATGGGTTCACCTTCCATCGCTCAGCAGTCAAGACAACAACAGCAACAACAGCAGCAACAACAACAACAGCAGCAGCTACAACAGCAGCAGGAGCAGCAGCAGCAGCAACAGCAAGCACCACAGCAGCAGCAAAACCAAACCCAGCCTTTGAGGCACTCCACCTCTCCGGTGCGAGTGGTTCCTGAGTCCGATAACAACAGGCGGATGTCGGACTCTGATTTGAATTCTCCCTCGAAAGGTGTGTATTGAAGAAGGGTCTTTCTTTGCCCAAGAGGTCAGTTGGAATGTTCTTGTGTTGAGTCTTCTCTGCAACTTGTGTTAAGGTTTCTCTTCAACTTCCAACTTCTATTCTGCTTACCCCTACTAGAGCTCGGGGGAGTAACTAACTGAAAGATCTTCATCTCAGAGTGGGTGTTGAATTTCACGTACGTAGACATATTACCTACATAAAAGGCAGTATCATCCTTTTCCTGATAGGCAGCCATATGTTTTCAATGGCACTCTTAGTATTTATGCTGGCAAGAGTGGCTTCAGTTTTGGGTAGGAATTAATTTTGTATTTTGCTCAGACAGCTGCCCAAAGAATTCAATGAGATGCCATTTGGTCAGAAAACCCGACATGAGTTAAGAAAATCTTTTATTTGTAGGAAAAGTCTTTCTTTCCAAGCAAAATCTTTGACTATGTAAATCTCTAAGACAGTTTCAATGCTCTTCCCTGTGTAAACTCCTTAAGATTGTAGTTTCTAAACTAAAACTGTGTAGAATTTTTAAAGACTGCAATGAACCTGTCTTTGCATCCAATCTTGAACAGGAGGAGTTCTGTCGGGAAGTGGTAATGGTGGTGCGGTGCTCAATTCTGGAGCGGCACTGAGGCCCACACACTCTAAGACAGCAGTGCTGCAGCAGAGCATTGATATGCTGGTATGTATTAACAATACGAAGTGACTATTCCCAGTGACACTGGGGATAGGTACAGAAACTATTCCCAGTGACAACGGAACTCTTTTGCATAAAAAATCAGAAGTCTTTGCATTGTAGACTCTCTTCTCACTTCAGTTCAGCCTACTTTTGTTCTCCTGCTCTCACTTAGGGCTTAGACTTGACCGTAGAATAGATCTAGATCTAGAACTAAAATTAGATCTAGCTCTAGAAGAAAGAAGAATGGAGAAGGATTTCTACCTGTCCTGTACCATGGTCTCCAAAATCCGTATGTAGATCTAGATCTGCATGTAGATCTAATTTTAACTCATTCGCTACGTATTATTTTCGGCTTGTGGACGAATTTTTTTCGGGAGGACGAATGAGATGATGACTAGTGGGCAGTTAAAAGGTCTTTGGGGTCACACATTCAAATAAATATCAGCGTATTATATACCAATATTTTCAGTATGGTTTGTAGAATACATCTGTAATGTTTATTTATGTATTTTTCAACTTTGGTTCCTGTAAGAGCCGATTATGCAACACAATTTTGATTGGATGCTGATAAAATTGGAAAATTAAAAATTAATAATCTTTGGTGAAACTCAAAAAATATGTTTGCATCTAGTCAAATGACACGTCAAAATAACCATAAATGAATATAAAACTGGAAAATATTGAAAAGTTAGCAGTTATTTACATACATTCCATAATATTGGTACGTTTGGATCATAACATCTGATATTGAAAAACAATTTTTAAAAATTAATAATCTTGAAAAACGATCACAAACAGAAAAAAACCCACTCGTATCTTATATGGAATTATTCAGAATTGCTTTTGGAATAAGCCTATACATGTCTTGAGTGGCACTTTTTGTGTATTTTCATAAAAAAGTAGTGATTTTGGGGAGAAAAAAATATTTTGACAATTTAGATCTAGACCTAGATCTAACACTCAAAAATATTGATTTCTCAATAACAGTGCATTGGCAATATGAGTCCAATCGTATCAATATTATAAAAAAGAGTCCTACATTTTTTTAGTGGGAAAAATAATGATACATTTTGTTGTGTAAAATTACTGAGACTGGTGCCCGGGCCATAATTTTGGCATCGCGATAAAACGAAGTCGAATAAACTACGAAATCGTGTTTCAAAACTGAATCTAAATTTCTGATTTTCAGTGGAAATGCTTGACCCGGAAGTCAACATTATATTATGACTTTTATTTTAATATGGATATGTGGATTGGAATAGAATCTAAGCTAAAATTGAAGATCAGTTCTTGAGCCGCCGGGGGCGGCTTAGTGTACTGATGGCCCTTTAGCCTCGCCACCCCCCACGGCTCGGCGTAGCGAATGAGTTAAATTATGACTGAGTAACAAGCAAGCATAGAATGATCATTCCTTTTTCTTAAAAAAATTTTTTTCTACTCACACCAGAATCTACTTTAGTTAGATCTAGATCTAGATCTGCATTAGATATAGTCTAGTATTTAGTAACCCATCAGATCAGTGTGGGAACAATAGATCTAATGGGCCTGTCTGTTCTCAGTGTCACTGGGAATAATTTCTGGGCCTATTCCCAGTGACACTGGAATCAATTCTGCCGTAGGCCCTATTGCCAGTGGTTTCTGGGCCTATTCCCAGTGTCACTGGGAACAGTTCTGCCGTAGGCCCTATTGCCAGTGGTTTCTGGGCCTATTCCCAGAGAGCAGTGCTTTCCATAACAATAATACTTATAAGTGGTTGATGGGTACCCTGATGTCTTCTGCTTCTTTTATTCAGTGTTTCTGTTTTGTAGTAACGTAAAATTCGGACTATAAGCCTTGACTTTTTCCCTCAGTTTTAAACCCTGTTGCTGAAAAAACGATGCAGCTTATTTGTGGATGTACCCGATTTGCAGGAGCCTCACTGCCTCGTATATTCTGCCATGCCAAGGCAGACTGAAGTATCTGCAAAAATGAATAATTGTTCTGTCTTCATTTAAATGGACGCCTATTCACATTTTTCATCTTTTGTCAAACGCTGGAAGACGTATCTGCACTACAAATAGGATATTTCACTATGGCAAACAGATGTAACTGAAGGACCATGCCCATATTTCCAATGGCACCGTGCCCTAACTCAAAATCATAAAAAGGGCTGATAAGTCGCTCTGCCTTGGCACGGCAGTATTCTTTGCGTACTTCTAAAACATTAAAAATCTACCAATTTTCCTCAATACCACACTTAAGTGTACGCCTAAGAAACACTGTCCAACAGACGAGTGAGTACTTTTTGAGACCCACTTGGAGACGTCTAGACAGTTGTGGGATGAAGTATACAAGCTTACACTGAAATGTAGAGGCAAGGGTGGGTGGGGATGGGGGGGAGGTTGTTGCTGTCTTAAAATGAACAATTTGTAGGCTAGGTCATTGTAAGTCATTTATCACTGTGATATGCATATCAGTGGTGTATTATCTGCTGTGGCTTATTAAAAAGTTCAGATTAAAAAAAAAATGTAATTAGTGTGTATGGCTATTATACAAGTGTGCTCAATAGCCCGAACTTTGTCAACTACAGTCAGACCTGTCCATAACAGTCACTCAGGATCACTGATAGGGTTTGAGTTATGGACACTTACTAGATTGGACATAATCAACAGATGGTTTGAAATCTGAAATCTTAGTTTCATCTTCACCAGAACTTGTGGCAATATCTATATGTGGGGCAGAGTGATGAAATCAGACGATCGTCAAAATGCAGAAATATGAGAAACAGGCATTTTTCCTCCAGTTTGGAAATTTTTATCACACTTTTATTTTTTGGCTCAACCTCTTTATTGTCTGTATAAAAACACATTTCCATGTCAATTTTACTGAAAAACGTTGATTATAGGCAAAAAATATGTAATTTTTCTGTTTTCTGGACTCTAGCTATTGGAGTTACCAAACTTTGGCAGCCATTTTGTCGCTCATTTCACCATTAAAACCAGGCGACTTCACTTCACTTCCTTCAGTTGCAAATATCTTGAGTTCTATTCAAGATAGATGGATATTTATTTCTTTGAAAGCAAGGCAAATAAATCAGCTTTGGGATGATACCGATAACTCCACATGCCCAAAAATTGACGATCGCCTGATTCTACTGCATCGTGCACAAAGATTGTGGAGGATGATTTTTTTGCCAACGATGCATCTAATATTTCACAATGTCTGTGCGTTCTTGTCAACCCTGTAAAACTGAATAAAACGTTGATGTTTTTAAAATGTTAAATAATATCATTTGTATAGCACATATCCCCACTCAACAGCAATCTCTGTGCGCTTCGTAAACCATATATACTCAGCACACCCTGGAACACTCTTAAAGATTCTCGGCTTTCTGGAAAGCATAAAGTGCTAGCAACTGATTAAGTGTTCAAACAGTAACAAACAGGCAAGATTTTTGCTGTTTATAGCTGAGTACCCATTCTCACCTGGGTAATGTGAGGAAAATTCGCATAGTTTACCTTTCCCAAGAACATAATGTTGGGCCCCTAATGGGGCTCAAACCCACAACCTTTCAGTTGTGGACCACTAGACCACTGATGCCACTTTGTTTTCCTCACAGGAATACCCTTTCTTCACCATGAGGAGCTTCCCTCCAGGTTTTATCCTGAGTCTTGGTGGGGTGGTCTCCTCTCGCTCTGTCAAGCTCTTGGACAAGATACATAACCCAGGTGTGTATAAGTGATCAATCTTCTTGAGTCTCTTTTATTTAAAAAGTCGTGAGCTTTTCATGTAAAAACGTATTGGCAGTAGTATGAACTTTTTGTGTTTTCTAATGCTCTGTGCCTTCAAACACATTGGAAGATAGAAAAAAGATTTCTTATAGACTTCAGAATGATGAACCACGGCGCACCGGCAGTGGAATTTTAGTTACCACAGGGGTTCCCCGTCGGGCGCCTTATCACGTCGGGGTCACGGGGGTCAGTTCCCTGTCGCCGTTCTGTCTAGGCCGACTTAATTTTTGGTTCTTTTCAATGTACAATTATAGGTGTATCCTTGTATTTACGGTAAATCTCATTTAGTGCACCCAAAGCATGCATTTCTGCTCTTGAGACTCAATAAAGAACGGACGTTGTAACTTGTCTGGTTATTACGTTAGACGCGCTGGTGTCGGCAATGCTAAATTGTAAATTTTTTAAAGACTAGTGCGAATGAAAAAAAATCGATATATAAAAAAATGGCTCGACAAAATCTGTCGAATTTTTGGAACGTGAATGACATAGCATTGGTGCAGATACTGAGAAAAGATGGTATCTGCGCCTATAATAGAAACCTGTAATTTTGCAACTTTATCCATCGGGCGCTCAATTCGCTATGAAGTAATTCCTCCAAATACAACTTTATGTGTCTAATATAATCGTGAATATTCGCATATTTTCTCGAAAGTTTATAAAAGTTACCCTGAAGTTTCTCTATGAAAAGTACAAATCGATTTTGTTGCGAGAATACATCTTCAATGTAATACAGGGCTCCCCTTTTCAGGCCAAATTAAGAGGTTCCTTCACCCTTTGGTTTACTATCTTAAGGGGTATTTAAACCCTTGTTTTAGAAACTTAAAGGGTAAAAGTTAATATCTCATAATTTTATAGTAAGATTTATTGCTTGTAAACATTTAACTCACATGCACATTCACACAGACGCACACAGAGTGACCATGACTATAATTGAACGCTAACGATTTTTAATTAATTTAAGAAATAAATGAGTAATATTGACTAGAATCAGAGTTGTGTCCATTTAGGGGGAGGTGAGGGGAGAATGGGGGTGGTTGAGCAGTTGGGCCTATCAAAAATAAAACAAAGTTGACAAACCAAAAGGGTCAATTCTGACCGTAGTACACCCAGAAAAATACACCTGCCACTTTATGAAATCTAAAAGTCAGGATCTCAGTGGGGAAAAAAATTGGGACTTGGTGAACAAAAATCGAGATCAACACCAAATCACTTTGGTCACTGCCAAGCTGATAAAAAAATTTCCTGGGGTGTCTATTATTGTATCCATGTATATTCCCTCTGTTCGCGCGCGCGTGTGTGGTGTATGTGTATGTGTGTGCACGCATGTGTGTGTGTGTGTGTGTGTGTGTGTCTGCGCGTACCTGTGTGTGTTTTATCATTATTTCTTTTTTAATCCTGAAGTATCACGTCAAGCTCTCCTTTTTCAAGTGTTTTACACCCCCCCCCCCTCCACCTGGATAAGTCCCGAAAGGCGCTTCAACCTGTGCGCATGAACTTAAATTGACCCTATCAACAGGTGATCCCCGACACACGCGGAACTCGCATACCGAAGTCATGTCAGGTGGTGCTAACGCACGATTGAAACAGTTTTACTAACGGGTCTTGATGGGCCTGACTAACCAGAACTCCGACAACGCATGTTTTGGCAAAAGTAGATCTTGAAAATGTTTTAGGTCGGAATGCCAAATCAATACTACTTCTATTATAGTTGAAATAACACGTGTGAGCAAAGATCCAACACAACTTTTGATGAGTCAACTACTAAATTCGACATAGACATTTAGGAAAATAGTGCTCCGAGTTTCTGCTGACAAAAAGTTTAACGAGTGCTTCCCACGACAGAAAAGAAGGCAGAGTAAGATTTTAGAAAAATCTGGCTCAACAGGCGGAACAAACTCCCCCCCCCCCCTCCCAAAATATCGGGGTACACACGATCAAAATCGGGTAAATCAGGATGTTTGAGATTTAGGGCAGGGATGAGTGCCAGGTTTGAAAAATGAACGGATTCATTATTCTTGAGAAACATCCCAGGGTTCACATTTCAATCTTTCCACTCTTTCGATGGAGGACAATTCATGTTTACTAGATCTAGTGTGTTAAAGAAGGATGGGGGTGATCTCACAGTAGGGGTAAACTCATGGCACGACACCAGCAAATGTGAGCCACCAGAATGTGGGCGGAGCTTCTGTGCTGAAGCAAGCCTGTGTTGCCGAAAACTGCGCGCAGCTGATAAGTAAGTCGACTAGTCGACTTTCTGACGCAGAAGGTGACTGTCGTGCATTGTATGGGGTGTGTTGTCAAATCGTTGACTCGGCTTCGAGATAGAGAAGGGGGAAAATGATGCTTGCCAGACGCATACCACCTACGTTTTAATGCGTATACAAACCTCCGAAATTAAATTATAAAGGGTAAAGCTCACACACCACCAAAACTGAAAGGGGGTAATCTGCATAACATACGCACATTTGTGCGTAATGGAGAGCCCTGTAATACACGAACAGTATCTGTTACACTCCAGAAATTCCTTACTTTTCTTAAAACGCTAAGTCTAGGTTTTGTAAGTTGACTGAAAAAAACAGGATGACTTCTCGTAATTGGGTTATAAGAATAATTTCTAGCTTTCCAGTGACACTGAATCAGCACCAGACTTTTCCAGCTTTAATTTTCGTTTCTATGAACATTTGCAATAACTGACAATGTTCTGATTTCTTTACATTCATAATTGTGTCCGCGCATATTTCCGACACATAGCTGTCATTATTTTTATTCCATACAAGAAGTTTTTCTCCACCCATGTATTTACACTGTTTTGTGTTTTTTTTAATCGCTTATATTATATCTTTTTTAGCTTTATGCAGGCTGCCACAGACACAGCATGATTCGTGAACAAACACAGAGAAACTTTCTCTTGTTTAATAGTAAAATACAATGCAGATGTTAATCTTTCTTCTCTTATAACTTGACTATTACTTCTCCCGCGGATTTAAGATTTCTCATGGTAAAAGACATGATATTCGTTGTCAGTTTAACCCAGTTTTTGGAGAGATCTGTCATGCCGTTTTTATATTAACAATCATTTTTTCATAAGTTTGTAACTAAAATAGGACAAATTGGGTACTCTACAAACACTTGTCTAGAACAAAAACTAAGGCACAGAAATTAACCATTCTAACGCAGAATAAATCTCAAGACATTGAGCTTTTAGTACATTCACGTAACGGTTTGCTGTGTAGGATGGGGAAGAAGTTATATCGTTTTAAACCTAGACAAAAATGCGAACTTCCTAACCGACGCCTGCAGAGTAGCTTCAGGGCTCATTAACCCAGTGACCCCGAGCCGGGGAGCTCCGGCGGGCTGCTGAGTCCCGCTAACTAAAGGCAACAATCGGGCGAAAAGTGATGCCGTGGAACGAACTGTGAATGTTTAAAGATTTGCTTTTTATAACTATTTGTACTGGATTGGAAAGAAAATTGTGATTTCCTCATAGTCAAACCTTACTTTCTTAATAGTTTTGAATCAGTTGTTGAATGTGCTAGAGTTCAAAGACTAATATTGCACTTGTCTACCTTAATTAAAAAAATTTGTTTACTTCACCCTTACCAGGTATCATTAGATGTCGAGGAAAAATGCAATTTTTGTCAAGGGCTTGGTAGGGGGGGGGGGGTGCTTCTGTTGTTGATATGTTATTCTCTTGGACATTGTCAGACATTGACAGATGAGCTATTATTTTATTATATTAATTTTTAGGATGACCTTTCATGCCCCTTGCAAAGTCTGTTGCAGTGTAACAGGTAATGTTTTTATTCTCATATTGTCACAAGTGCAGTGCCTCATCCAAAAATGCCAAGACAAGCTCATTTTTCAATTTGGATGAGATGAAACTTAAAAGGGCGAAAACTTGTCATCTGAATATTTTCTACCATGATAAACAAATAGCATGGCCTCTTTTTTTCTGACCCATGGTATTCTTTTACCTATCCGTTATTGAAAATGTTTGTTTCCTGTAACACTCTATGTTTTTGTAGGGTACGCTATCTGATCGCGACACTGATAATGCACATTGCCCATTTGATGCATTTGAGTTATTTGATTAGTTGTCTAGGTTCATGAGGGAAAAAGTTATCATTTTGGCATAAATCGATCATATCCTTCAAAAACCAAACGTGTTTGGTTATGGTGGATTTGATCAAATTGTGCCAAAATGGTAGCTTTTGCCCCTCCACAAAAGAAAAATCCTGGCCAGTCCCAATTTTTTCAGATGAATCAAATATATCAAATGGTCAATGTGCAGTGGGTATAACAAATTGTTCTTTTTTTATTTCTTCTCATTGATGCAGTTCACCTGACCTGCGAAAGGTGGTTGGCAGGTATTCTGGTATGATTTGCTCCTTGTTTCCTATCAAACATCTGTCGTTCGTATCTCTCTTCCTTCTTTTCTTTGCATGTTACCCTCGAGTAAAACCTTTGATCTGAGGCACTTGTATGACCTGTTTGTGTTCCTAGTGCTGTAAAATTTTGACTAAAACTTGACTACACCTCCCTCATTGACGCAATCTGCCTGCCGTCTGCAGAAGAGCCTGAGACTCGGGACGCGTGGTGGAGCGAGCTGAGGACAGAGGTCAAGGCCCATGCAGCCAAACTGGGATGTCATGCCGTGCTGGGCTACCTGGAGCAGACCTCCATTTGGTGGGTCTCTTTCTTCCTGTAGCTTGTTCACTTTCATTTGCTCACAGTTAAAACAGGATAATGACACATCACTCAGTTTAATCTTCTCTGGTCTTTTCATTCGGGTCGAAAAGCTGGATAAACAATAGATTATAAAAGTCCATTAGTGGGAATAAAGTTCTGACATATTTTCTTTGATGTTACCCTAAAGCGGTTAAAATAATATAGATGTCTTACAACATACACCTAAAACAAGAAACATTTGTATAAATTTTTATCAACACCACACTTTAATGCATGCATTTGAGACACAGTCCGATAGATGGGTGAGTACTTTTTGAGACTCGGATGAAGATGTCTAGACAGTGTTGGTGGGGAAAAACTACGCGTTTACACTGAAATATAGGGGCAAAGTGGTGTCACTTTCTCAAAATGTTTTAGGCTAGGTCACTGTAATTCATTTATTATAGTGAATCTGTGTGTGCACCCAAAGGTCGGGGTTTAGTATAGGAACCAAAAGAAGAAACTTTTTAATTACTGGATCTAGATTTTTAAAAAGTTTTTTTTTAGTTTGCTGAATTGAAGTGTTATACACAGTTACATACGCATTGGCAAATTAATGAATGTTCTATAATTTTTTAACACAGACAGATGAAAGTGTACAAGCTATAGACCTGTTGTCCAACACTGAATGACCCATCACAAGCTGCTTCGTCATATCTTCTTTTTGTTTTTTAGGGTGTTTTAGTCTTTTTTTCGCATGTCTTTTTAAAAAAAAAGTCTGATGTTAGAAAGTAATAACAGCATGGCAATACCAGGTAATAATTTGTTCCTTCTTAGTTTATTCACCAATATGAATAAAATGTTATGCTCATAAGTTCAAGAAAATTGCTTTCAGATCCAAGTGCAATGTTAAGTAAGGAATATTACTTTCCTAAAGATCTATGTGGCGTTGCAATAATATGTGACACAATGAGGTTGAATCAGGGGCTGATACATTTTTGGGCATATAGAGTTATTAGTATTATCTGAAAGCTTGTTCATTTGTCGAAAAAAATACCCACCTATCTTGAATAGAAGTCAAGATATTTGCGATTGAAGGATCTGGGGGTCCCCTGGTATGTTAGGTATAATTAGTGAGAAACTGGCCGTCAAAGTTTGGCAACTCCCAAAGTTTTAGTGTTGTCGGAAACTGGAAGTTCACATTTTTTGTGCCTTTAATGAAGGTTTTTCAATAACATATACAGAGAAATGCATTTTTAAAAGGATGTAAAAGGTGTTGAGCGAAAAAAAGAAAATTAAAAAGAAATTGCTCAATGCCCAGAAAAGTACCTGTTTCTTTGATTTCATTGTTTTGACAAGTGCTTGATTTCACCACGCTGCCTCACATATTTTTATTAAGTGGATGAAAAGAAGAGAACTTTATGCCCCCTGATGTGACTTCACAGATTTAATTCGGGGCACTGGATGGCTGGTATTGATTGAATTATAAATCAGTGCTGACCAATAAAGACAAAGACTCCGGTTTGGAACAGATGAATGAACGACAAAATGGCGACAAAGGCAAACACATGGAACTTGTGAAGTTTTTTGCATTATTGTAAAGTAAGAGCACAACCTGTTCATTGTGTCGCACTCTGAATCAGCCTATTATTATGTGTCTGTGATTCATGTTTCACATTTATTGCCTATCTCTTGTTACTTTGGCTATGTTTGTCGGTTGGTGCCCCACTCCTTGTCACAATAGGCCTCCTTCTTATCTGGTCTCTGCTTTGATGTATTATTTCTTAAAGTTTTAGACCACTCTTCACTTTTACACTTATATACACAATTAATTTTTCCTGCATATTCTATGCTGTAAGGTTTTATTTATAAATTTCTCCTTTTAAACTCCTTCCCCTTTTGCTCACGTTCAGTTCACTATTTTTCTTTCCCCAGTGATGAAGTGATCATACTGTCAGCTATGGGCACAGCTGCTAAGATTAACCTGAACTTTGACCCTGTCCGTGGCACAGTGACTCCGCAAGTGTCATCAGGAGTCCCTGTGAACCCTAGTATGTCCGGTGCCCCCATGGAAAGGTCAGCGTCTGGCGGGTCCAGCAGCGGAGAGCGCTCTGATAGCAAGGACAGAGACCGCCATCTTTTTGTGGATATCTCCTTGGCCAATCAGATACAGCAGAAGACGTTGACTTCCATTGATGGGTATGCCAGTAATAGCGATAAATGGCATCTTTATAGTGCATATTCCGGCCCAATAACAAGCTCTATGCGCTTTACATTATAATGTTATGCCAATAATATGTGAGGCAGCGTTGTGAAATCAGGCACTCGTGAAAATAATGAAAATCGAGAAACTGGCATTTTTCAGCAGGTTTGGGAATTTTTATTGAATGTTTGTTTTTTGGCTCCACACCTTTCATGGCTGGTGCCTCTATAAATAAATCATTGATGGTCAGGTCAGGTCAGGTCACCTTTCATGCCCTTTTAAAAATATATTAAAGTGTGGATTTTTCTGAAAAACCTTGATTAAAGGCATAAAAGATGTAAGTTTTCAGTTTCCACGGACTCTCAAGCTAAGGAAATAACTCAACTTTGGCTGCCATTTTCTCCCTAATATTACCTCTGAAATTAGGCAAACCCCACCTCCTTCAATCGCCAATATCTTGACTTGTATACAAGTTAAATGGACATTTTTTCTTCAAAACCAAGGCAAATGGACAGGCTTTAAGAAAACACCAAGAACTCCATATGTCCCTAAATTGACGAGCGCCTAATGCCACCGCATCGTAACACATATGTCTTTACTAGTTCTCTAGCTGCCCTCATTTTCACTGGGTGGTTGGTAAAGGCTCTATTTCTTTTTCAGTTTACTTTTGTTCTTATTTTCTTCAGAATGAAATGTGGCCATTATATTGCTGACCAACAAAGTACCCTGGCAACTTGGTCGAGGATTTGGGAGGGGGGGGGGAGATTGAGTAGACCTACTGTATATTTTACTGATGTAGTCTGGTAAAACCTAAAAGTAGATTAAGCTGCATGATCATCTTTGTTCAAATGAAAATGTGTGATATCATCCTGTCAAAGAACAATCTTAACTGTGTACACACCAGGCTATTTTTAACCCTCACGTTCTTCTGGCCTATGTAATACTGGAGTCCCTGACTCTTCAGGACCAGCCAATACTGATTGTTCCTGCAATAAAAAAAAAGCACCCATTTTGGCACCGTTACGGTAAAAGTATATGACTGGGTTTAAAGTGACTGGCACCCTGTGAGGGAAATATATGCGAGAACTCATAAGGAAAGTATACATGACTGGGGCTGTGAGGGGTAATTCTGAAATAGGATCGATTCTTTCACTGTACCCTTTAAAAAAATGTTCTCCTTCTTTTTGTAGTATTGGAGGGCTACAAATATTTGATAAGTACTAGCAAATCCAAGAGCATTAGTTATGACTATTTGAAAAAACCAATGGAATTTGAGTTGCGAATTCAGTAAAACGCTCATTAAAACTAAAAACTCTGTCTTTTTATTTCATCTTTTTTGTCACTGTATGGCTCTGTGTGACCTGAGCAGTGTGGAGGATAGCCCCACTCGCTGCACCATGTGTCACATTCCTTACAGTCCCACCAACCTGCCCTTTGAGATACAACTGTCCAAGTGTGCCATTTGCAGGTGAGAGGGATATGCTATTTGAGAAAACTTGCTCGTACAAACAAATAAACCAATATCTGAAAAGTCTCCTCTGCAGCAGAATGAACTCTAGGGAAAATATAATTTTTGTTACTCAAACCTTTTAAATGTGTATTCAGCTGATTGGAAGCGTGATTTTGTAAGATGCTTTTCGAGCTTTGCTTTATGTTTTTCTTCTTTCTCAGTTGTCTTTGCTTTGTCTTATGCAGGTGTTGAGTGTATGTTTGGGGGTGGGGGGGGGGAGTATTACTGATAGATTTTTCGTCATGATTATCTCTCAGTTGTTTCTATCTGTTTGTCTTACTGTTGCAAGCTTTTGGGCGGTGGGGGTCACCACTAGTAGATTCTACTTCTTTTCTTTCCATATGTATTTCGGTCTGTTTGTTTATTGGGTCTATGCATTTCTCGTTAACTCAAATTCATTCATGCAACAGAATTAACAAGAGTATTTACAGGGTCCCCACAGGGTCGGGAAATCGGGAAAAAGTCGGGAATTTTGAGATGGGTCGGGAGGTCGGGAAAAAGTCAGGAATTTTGTGATGGGACGGTAAGTCGGGAAAGTATAGGGCCTGTGTAATGTGCAGCTATCTAGACTGGATGGTTGATGAGGCCTAAAGGGGAAACGTAATTGAAACATCCGCTGTGACGGAAGTGTGTGTGACACCGAGGCTCGATCGGGAAGAATCAAGATCTGCTTTCGTTACCGCCCAGACAGATAACGCAACATTTGTAACATGCAGGTTGTGCATTATGAACGCTGTGTCGCCTTGAAAATAAATCAATATTAAAAATTGCCCTCTGCTGTCGCTTGTGGAAAGAAAAAAAAAAGAAAAAGAAGTTATACAAGCGTCTTGACAGGTTCGCCCTCGTGACCGGTCAATGAACCTGTGAGTACCGGCGGTCTGAACGCTGTGAAGTATAGGACTCCTTTATAAGATACACACATGGAAGGGGATGGGGGGGAGCTGAAGGCAACGCTAGAGGACAAAATCTGAACTTGGAAGCAAATTTTTTAGCATTTTGATTACTACTTTAGAGCTCTCTGCAAAGCGCGCGTTGGTGCAGGCCTTGTGTGGATTCAGGATCCGTCATGCCTTGTTATTGAACTAAAGTGTTCGCGTTTCATTGGATGGGGTGATTGTAATTTATATCTATATTTTATTAGCTTTCTGTTCAAGACTGGCAGATTTTCAGTGTCACTGCATCTTGCGCCGCCCCCCCCAGTTCTTACACCTCTCACACTGAATAGGTGTACTTCAGCCATACTAGTTATTACTCTACTTTGAGTTGCAGCAATGGTTTTCGTCTTCACGTTTATTATATGAATCGTGACCATCAGACTGGTTATTGACAGTCGATTTTCTAGTTCTAGGTCTTTTTTCAGGCTCAAAACAGGATTCATTTTTTAAATATAGGTTTGTTATGTTGGCTAATATGATGATGGGAAAATATAAATAAGAACAGACTGAAATACCAAAGTCTCTCAAGATCCCAGTGCCACACTGACATGTTGTTAACTGGATATAATGTACCTACATGTGTGTGTGTGTGTGTATTCACAAACATATACATGTATTATATTAGATATAAATGGAGCACACGCTTTCATTGTTATGTAACGTGTTCCTGGAAAATGGATGAGGCCCCTCCCTTGGAAAATTGAGAAGCTGGTTTGGCAGTCACCCAGTATTATAGTCATCTATTGTTTGAAGACTATACTACAAAATGTACATTTGCATTCATTTATAGACATTTTGACTTTTTATCTTTGATAGATGGGCTTTTTTGGGGATCATTCTTGACGCGCAACGGCCTGATTTTTCCGTCGAATTGGGGTCTCGAAAAAAATTTGGGGGTCTTGAAAAAATTTTCCAGGATTTGGTGGGGACCCTGTACTTAGTTATTTAGACGGTCTGCTTTCTCTGAACAAATTATGGGTGATGGGAAAGACCCGAATGATATACATCCAAGCAAAGAAATGAATGGTGAACCATGATCGCCAATGTCTTTTTCAGATCAGGCACTTTATTATGATGATGATGAATTGATTTTGCCCACAGGCGGAAAAGTGTCCCGGAGGTTTTGTTCACCACTGTTGACCCACCAGTGGACATGCCTGTGTGGAGTAAGGGCTGCCTGATTCAAGCAAGGTACAATGCTGTGTGCGGAAGCCCAGTCTTTCCATCTTTATTTTTTTTGAAGCACTGTCTCTACAGTTTTTGCCTTTCATCTTTATTTTTTTTTTTAGCGCCATCTCTACATTTTTGTCCCTTCTGTCTCCATATTTTCTCTTTGGAATGTCGTTTGTGTATTTTGTCCATTCTGTCTTCATACATTTTCTTTTTAGAATATCATCTCTGTGTTCTTTCCTTCTATCTTCATATATTTTTGTGAAATATAATTTCTGCTTTCTTTCGTTCTGTCTTCATATATTTTATTTGGAATATCATCTCTGTGTTCTTTCATTCCTCGTTCGTTTATTTTCTTTGATGGTGCCAGTTCTGTATTCTTTCTTTTGAGTATCATTTCTATGTTCTTTTTTCCATCTTCTTATGCTTTGTTGTTGTTTTCTAAAATATCGTCTTTGTCTTCCATCCTTCCTTTTTCATTTGGAAAAAACATATCATGTTTTTTGGGGGGGTTTTTTGTCACTCGGCCCTGGTGTGTATTAGGCACCAGCACTGCACTACTGGAGGGAAGTGTCATGGGAGAGGAGGAGGGCATGCAGATCTGATATGGTTTGCTTGATCTGCTTCTTTTCAGTATAGCCTTTGTGTGAGTCTGATTATAGTAGAGTCTGCATATTCCAAAATCTGCACGACTGCCGTATTTTCTGTGATTTAGTCAGGTTTTTTTAGTTAACAGACTTCTCAATTAGGCCCCCCCCCCAAAAAAAAATTTTAAAAATCAAAAAATCATGGATTTCGTTTATTTTGGCTTTCCACCGTTGTGGCTGTGTTCGGGTTAACTGTGTCCCATTTAAGGGGGCTCCACTGTATATTGTTGTGTTTGCACCAACCCCCCACCCCCTGTCCTTGTCTCCGTACACAGTTCCTCCTGACTGGCTTTGGCAGGTGCTTATGCTTTGCGTGGGTGGTTGGTGGGTGCTCAGGTGTGGTTTGCTTCTTCTTTCCTATCAAACATCTATCGTCCTTATCTCTCCTCCTTCTTTTTTGTGTATGTTACTCGCTTGTGACACATCTATTCTTCGGCACTTATATGACCTAATTGTGTTGCAAGTGCCGTGAAACTCTTACTAAAACTAAAACTTATGCTTTGCTTTGTTGTGATCTGCATCTTCTACTTCAGATAGTTTGAGGGTGTTCTTGCTGTGCTGTTTCCTACTTCTTTGCTCTCCTTCTGTGTATTTCATTGGTAATGTGCTTTTCTTTCGCAGTAAATTATTAGCCAAAATGAACTTCCAACTGCTTCACTCGCAGTTTTACATATAAATGGCCTTTCAAAGCCCTGCAAATTGCGCCAGACAATGTGGAGAAAAAAATGTAAACATTTTCAACAGATATATCTTAAGCCAAATGAGAACAACTTAAACATGTTTGTTTGTCAAGCATGACTGGATTTGTTTATTTACTCGGGATAGGTGGAGAGATGGCTTATCTTCTTTTCTATTTTATTTTTTTTCCCGTATCGTATATTTTTTTTTCTACGTGTCATGTGGTCATCATTATATTATTATGATTTGAAGGACTTCTCTGTTGACACCCACCCCTTGGCGCTCATATGACCTTATGCAGTTAATTGCAAGTTAATTACGCTGGTGTTTTGTTTAGTATAAGTGGCACAGTCACAATTTGACAGGAGTTTGTTTTTCTTATACGAGTGAGTACTCCTTTGCTTTTTTCCAAGATCCCTCTGACATCCCTGTGCAACG